GGGGTTAAATGTATTTACAACAAAAAGGGCAGCAGCAGCCACGGAGCTAAAAGCTAAGTGTAGAAGGTTCTGGTCTGATGGTTCACACTGATTCTTTCTGTGAAACTGGAGAAAGACGCTCTGACCCCCAGACACCAGTAGGGGTGCAATTACTTCAGGTTTTTCCCCAGATATCAGAGCAGAGAAATTCTCTGGTCTGTGGACCAGGGATGAAACCAGCGGTTGTCACGGTGACGTGTTAGAGGTTTAACCCCGTCCTGACCATCAGTATTAGACAATATTTGATTATATATATACAGTACACAAATATATAAATATTAGGGATGTCTGATAATATCGACCTGATATTAGCATATTATCTAATATCTGTAAGGATCGTTATCAGTTTTTTTCTCCGATAATGAAAACCCGATAATGCAATGCCTGGGTTTCGCAAAAATGATGTGCGCCATAAAAATAGTTTTGGGCAAAAACGGCTGTATACTAAAGCAAAAGTCACTAGATGGCAACATTGCAGCTCATTTAATTAATCTCATACATAAATATATGTATATACACATATATAAATATATTAATACATGTATATACACATATATAAATATATGTGTATATACATATATTTATATATATACATATATTAACATATAATATATGTGTATATTAATAAATATATACATATATTAACATATATTAATATATGTGTATATACATGTATTAATATATGTGTATACACATATATAAATATATGTGTATTTACAGTTTAGCTATATATGGTTTATCTAAACACACATATATATATACAAAATGTATGTTTATATTATATAAGCTATATTTGTTAGGTAGGTTGTACGTTGTTAGCATGTCGACTAACTTTTCGTCGTCTTTCCAGCGTTTATCGTTAAGGCACAAACACAGGTGTTAAAAATGTTAAAACTTTCTCAGGAAACGTGACTGCACTAAAACAAACCCCATTAAATCTGCGTTTGATAAAAGGCTCGGAGCAGCGGGAACTTTTGGAGACGGCGTCTAACGGGGAAAAGTCGGCTCATTAGGAGCTTTAATTTGTAAATATGCTGAGAAAAAAAACAAAAAAAAAAACAAAGGCAGATGTTCAAGGACCTCTCAGTCCAACTAATGAACACGTCTGAACAGAGCTCCATCAGGAGCAGGGGTTTACTGCACAGGTTTTTCCAGGAAATGTACAGTAGTACGAATCCTGCTGCTGCTGCTGCTGCTGCTGCTGCTGATGCTGAGGCATTATAATCAGGGCACACCTCCTGAATGATGCAGGGGCATCNAACGCCCCGTGTTCTTTCACATATCTCTCCTCCCTCACTCACCCCCACAGTTCTACTCTCTCTCTCTCTCTCTCTCTCTCTCTCTCTGACTGCGTTGCTCTTTAGACATGAAACAATAAAAACCTATTTGCCCCCTGCCCCACTGTGACGCTGGAGGTTTTGCCCTGTACGTCTGAGCGCCTCCTCTGCCTCTTATCTGCCCTCAGCGGTGGCTTTTTCTTATCTCCTCTTCACAGACCGGGATGGTGTGTGTGTGTGTGTGTGTGTGTGTGTGTTTTCTTCTACACTCTCTGTCACTACAGCATGCAGAGGATGCTGCACCCTGGTGGCATCAGAGCATGCCCCGCTGTGGCCTTTGTCTGCACAGATGCCCCTGTGGATGAAGCAGCAGCTCAGAGCCCCCCCTCACCTGTTGGGCCGTACACAGCCTTAAAGCAGCGGATAAATCCTGCAGCCCTCCGCCAAATATAGCAGACGGGGCTTCAGCATCTGTAGCCGATGCTCTGGGGGGGGGGGGGAGGGTATTTCATTAATACATGCAGAGAATTTGTCTATTTCTGTTGACGCAAAAGCAACAAAGACCTGCTGCACAAAGGCACAATAGGAGGTCTGATAGAAACTGGAGAAAAAAGGCATCTGGAGTGTGTGTGTGAGAGAGTGTGTGTGTGTGAGAGAGTGTGTGTTGCCGTTGTCATTATTGTTTTCATGCATCCTGCACTGGGAATTGTCTCCATGTCGAGGTTTAATCCAATAACACATCGTCGCTGTGATGTGTTCACAGTCTGCAGCATGTCCTTTAATAACCACTGTCTCTCTCTCTCTCTCTCTCACCCCCCTGCCCCTCCCTCCCCCCCCCC